CTCGGTGCACTAAATTACAAAATGCCCCTAAGATATCATTCGAAGAAACATACTCTGTCCTTAAATTGTTGGAGCAGTAAAATTGAAAATGCCAAAAGAAAGATCAATGTACATGAAATGTCCCTTAGATGAGCAAGTTAATCTACAAAGAAAACTTATAGTTTTCAAGTTCCTTCCCTCCTGTGGAAAACAAACGCCATCATTCCGTAGAAAATTTAGAAGAAATTCTTTAAGAACCTATATAACATAATCCTTAGAAAACTTAAATATGGAAAAAAATGATACATTTACCACAACTTCTCAATGATCATCTAGAATATTAAGTTGAAACTTTACCTTTTAAAGGCATAACTGCAAATATTATAGAATTCATTTTGCCTTTAAAAATATTTTATGTGTATAAAATTGGAATAGTTTTATCTAGTATTTTACTCTACATAAAGAAACAAAGAAGAAGAAATAGAGGAAAACACAAAAGAAGAATATGAAAAGAGAAGGAAAAATTACCAAAAAAAAAAAAGAGAGAAAAAATATGAAGACTTTAATAGTAGCACATAATTTACCATTCCATATTTGGATACTCGTTACTTTCTCATAATCACGACCAAACAAAAAGAAGAAGATAAGTAAGGAAAAAAAAGGGACTTGAGAAATGAAAATCATTAGAAATTTGCTAAATTAGTGAATATTCTTACTGGCACAAATCAATGATATCCAACCTTAATTTACTTGTCTTTTTGCTCCAAGTTCTCTTCTAACCACGATATGTTATCCAAACACAAATGTAGCACATTCAAATGTTGGATTAAGCAACCTATCACTAACCAAGTTGCAATACAAATTTTTCTGTGGCTTCACTTTATAGTCTCCATGTAGCTTAGAACGGAACGTGTAATATTTACACCTTCCAAAGCAACCGTTACAATTACTATGAAGATAATAAAATCACAAATTAAAAGCAATAGGGAATAAGAAATTTATGTGAAAGAAAAATTATGATGCAAACGAGAAAAATCAACATAACTATAGAAGCCCCAAGATGAAAAAGTTGGAAAAGAAAACTTCTAGCTTCAGAGCGTCTTCACCAGTAACTTTCTTCTCCTTTGTTGATTTTTTTCTCTGCCTTGAGTGCCATTGTAATTGAAACCTGGGGCATTTGGAATTGAATACTTGTGTATTTAATTGAAACAGCAAGTGAAGACATGAAGGATTTGGCTTGAAACGGTACTTAAAGAATATTGTGACCGTTGTCGTGTCTATCTCCTTATTATGAGGAGTTGTAACTGCAATAGAACGTGAACTTTTGAGATTATTCTTTTTCTTATGGAAGTCAATGTTAATGCGCAACTCTTTTGTGTGAAGTTCAAATTAATTGTAAGCATGAGAAGTTGTCTCGTATCAGGAAACTAACAGTTAGAGACTAGAGTATTCCGGCCTTATTAGGTTCTTTCCCTTGGTTTTTTATTTTTTTAAAATGATATTTAGGTTATTTAGTTTAAAAAAATATTTAGGTTATTTAGAAAGGTATTGTGGTAATTGAACTTTTAATTTTTGAGGTTTCACCTTTGTAATAATATAAATATAGATGTAGATATAAATATAGATATCTATATCTAACTTTTAACTTTTAAATTTTGAGGTTTCAACTTTTATAATAATATAGATAGATAAAGTCAGCCCTAATAATATTTTTGAAGTGAGGCGTAGTTATTATCGTTAAATCATTCTCAATTATGAATATTAGTAATATTAATGGGTAAATCATTTAACTCACAAATTCAGAATCTACACATTTTGTGTGCAAAAACATATATGAGTATGTAATTCATCAAGGCAAATATTTTTGGCTCGTGGCATCATCTACCGTCTCAGACAACACTGTTCCAATCAAGAAAAGGCCCCTGAGGATAAAAAAATTGCAAATTCTCCTAACTTGGTTATATGATGATACTATATAGGAAATGTTGACCAAATGACTTTTTAATTTAAATTTAGGATAATTAAGTTAAAAAAACTGACAAAAAACGTAAGATTCAATCTTGATGCTACTTGAATAAGGAAGGTTTAAATTTTTGAACTTGTTTTCTATTTTAAATTATTTTTTGAATCTCCAAATTTGTAGGAAGTTTGTCCTGAAATTTGACATTTGTAGAATTTTGGTTTTGACACTTGTCATTCTATCCTTGTATTGCCTCTCCTATTATATATAGATAGATTGAGAGAGATCATATGAGAGAGAGAGATGGTACAAAATTTAACAGTTTTCAACTGTTCTTTTGTAATTTGTAAAAACTTGGGATATAGTGGCGTAGGTAGAATTTTTCGTAACTGGTGTCATAATTTTACAACGTGAACAATAAACAGATCTCTATGATATCTTATTTAAGAAAAAAAAAACTCGAATCATATTAATAAAACACAACTCAATTATACTACAACTCTTCTTGATAAATTTTTATTTTTTTGAAATATATTCAAAATACTCACTAAAAATATACTAAATGTACTTTCATTTCAATTAAAGGCAGCAAACAATCACTCAAAAACTTATAGTTAATCTGCGAATGTTCTTAATCAGCATTTTCGTCAAGAAGAAAATGAAAGGAAAAAAAAAATTAGCAGAACAACTAATGGAAGCAACAACATCTTCAAATACTTTATTGTCGTTGGAGCAGATGTATTCGGCTCTTGACACATTAGTTTAGCTTTTTCTTGAAACTTAGAAATCAACTAGGGACGGATCTATATAGAGGAAAGGGGTTGGTACGCCATCCAGTCGCTGGGGTAGAACTTCATGTATGTACTGGTATTGCATGTAAAAAAACATTACAAAAGCTAAATAAATAAGAATTGGAACCCCAAGTCACAAAATGACTGTAGGTGCCATGGTCAAATTACCCAACGCCAGGCTCAAGGCCCATGATCGATGCTGCTTTACTCATATACTAGTATTAGGACCCGCACGATGCGCGGTTTATTTTAACGACTTATCATAGCAAGGAATACTCTGAAATATGTAGAAAGCAACAAACTTGATTAAAGGACAAAAGTCACGGCATCCAACATATTGGTTTGCAATCCAGTCTAGAACATAAAATTTACATCATCCACGTCTGTTTAGAATACTAAAAACATGAAGCAAATGAATTGCTTTAGTAGAAATCAGCAATCTCAATTAAAGCCACAGTATAGAAACATATAGTTACAGTCTGCATGAATTTGTGGCGATTTTTCGGCTCGATTTGAACACCCCTAACTATAGAGCAAATTTTGTTCACTACCGGCGCTAATTTCTCCATCTTCTTTTCCTCACTTAAACTGGAAACCAATTCAGCTTTTAATCATCTTGATAAATCTCTGTGTTCTATTTTTCTAATTGGGTACATATGAACTTGGCTTCCTATAAATTTTTGGTGTATATCTTCATCACATACGAAAGGACATTGGCATTGGAATTATCATAGGGAAGTCTGCTACTGAAGAATGAAATGGTATATTGGAAATATTGCTGCAGACTTGTTCCGAGGCAGCTTATGATTTTTCGCCATTTATAATAGATCTGGAACATTTATGCAATCCTTTTTTTTCTTTGGCTTATTATTCTTATTCATTTGCTCTGAAAGTCTGGTAAAGGATGCTGAATTTAAAAGGTAGCTATCTCAGAGTAAAAATTCACATGGTCTCCAATACATCCAGATGACTGAAGGATGGTGCCTAAACTTTTTACCTTTTTCCCATGTTCCTAAACTGAGCTGCTGTTGCTTAAAGGATGGAGTATTGATTCTTATTTTTTCATTTTATTGAATGCTATGTCTCATACAAAAAAATTGTATCAGAAGTATGGAGTCTCACAAACATAAGTAGGTACGAAAATCTCAACTACACAAACTCTTACACAACACTTGATTTATTCACTTAACTCACATATAACATTCACAAATTCACATTTCTTTACTGCTTCTCTGAAGCTAATATGTATGTATGTACACACATATATAAGAGAGAGAGAGAGAGAGAGAGAGAGAGAGAGGGGGAGAGAGAGAGAGTAGTTATCGTAGACTCAACGAGAGTGAACTAAGTAACTACGTTAGTTTACCTTACCGTAGTATTACTTACGTTAGTTACGTTTTACTTTTTACTTTCTTTTCGTTNGTATCGCATAACGACCAGATGATGACATTGCTAATCTCAACATGTTTGAAAGAGACTTGGCAAATAATACTGAACATGATCCAATAGCACCTTTATTGTATGTGATCAATTTCTTATTTACCTCATTCTTTTGAAGGATGGAGAAATAAAAATTGTGTCATTACTATAACCTTATTACAGGAATTAAAAAATAATCTCCTTGTCAGTTGCTGAAACTATAGTACAACAGACCTCTTCATTGAACAAATTTAAAATTCATCAAAGGCAGTCACCGTATTTAACTGCTTCAAAGTACACTCAAGAGGTTTGTTATTTGACTTAAATTAAGAGGAAAAAGAAAAATAGAAAGGGGAAACAATGAATAATTTCAAAGAATACGTTATAAAACAAAAACTCTCCTGCCATAGTAATAAACTTGGCAACTCAGATTAGGACATTCATTTTGGAAGATACAATTGATTATTTTGTATGCTTCAGAGTTGCAGAAAAGTGAAACAATCATCAGGTTTATTGCATGCATGCTGAAAATAACATGAAGGTGGTAGTTTGATGGATCATGAACTTACAGGTTATTCAACTCAAACATGTCAATAATATGACCATACATTTCAAGGGAGAGTACTGGTAAGAGTCAAGGATTCCATATTGAACCACATAAGTATCGAGAACAACACTACAGAAAGAACTATTTAACATTTCAGAAGCTTGTACCTGAAAGACACGTTTAGAATAAGAAATTGAAACTTTAGTTTTATTTAATATTTAATAGTAAAATTGGTCCTTATTTTTGTAACTTGCAACTTTAGTTCTATTTCACAGTAAATAGTGAAGCTTATCAAACCTATGAGTAGCAGAACTATCAAGCCGATCACATTTCTTGCAGTGAAATTTACTTCCAATTTTGTCAACCTTCTTCGAGCATCTCTTGCACCCCAAATATGACCATTCTTTTTCAAGTAGAAGATTCACTACAGTCGCAACAATCCAAATATGTCCTTCCTGAAAAGAAGTCAAGTTGTAGGAATGTATCTAGAAAATTTGATTTTCCTAGATGTGGACAAGCATGAGTTGTGTTTGAAATCTGAACCTAGATGAATATGTTACAAATGATGTGGTATTGTTTCCTCTTACAAATGAAAATTCCTACCAAAAAGAGTTTGTCCAGAGATTATGTCAAAGAAATTGAACTACCTTTAGCTTTTTACTTTACAAGGAGTGGTATTTTATCATCGCTTTCCTCTACTATCTCTACTAATTATCAGTTGGTGCACATGTGGATATCTGATCAGTGTCCACTTTATAACATTATAAATTTGAGAGTATGTGTCAGCATTACAAATGCAAGAAAATATAATGTAAATCCTCATTTTAGTGGTAGCTCAGTGAAAGAAAAGCAGTAGATACCATCAAAGTTGAAAAATAAAAATAAAAATGAATAACACAAGAGTTTGTAAATTTGATCAGTGGGAGTTGCATGTCACCTGCAGGTTGTAATTAGTATTTCCATCTTTGACGACAAAAATCTCAAACAGTGGAGTTGCAGAAGAGGCTTTCACCATCTTAAGCATTTCCATTTAAGCATTTACATGTTAAATGAGTTATTGAATGTGTGAGGCTAAATTCTATTAATCACTTTGGAATATTTTCCTTCTTAAGTTAATAAAGGGAAGTATCTTGGCTTTCTATCTTTGATATTTCTATATGGAAATTGTGTAGTGCTCATAAACGTATGCAACAGGGATCCTAACATATGTGCCAAGAGCATATGTGCACATAGATCACCATAACAAATAGTATGGTAAGAGCATATGTGCACATGGCTCACTACAGTATCTAAACTTACTTAACAGGTTTTCCAAAAAACATATATGTGCACATGGCTCACCATAACAAATAGTATTTTTAGACATACAGTGTATACA